GGGGGAGGCATGACAACAAGAGAGGATGGAGGAGGCGACGGCAGGAGGGGAGGACGAGACAGGTGGGAACGAAGCAACATAGGGTGAGAATGCGGGACACGGGAGACCGGACGCACACGAGAGGGACGGCGAGCCCAGACGTGCGACGGGGGGGTCGGGTCTGGAGACAGGGGAGGGGACATAAGAGGGGAACGAGGGGGAAGATGAGCCGGAGACGATTCCGGAGACGAGTCCGGAGGAGGGAACAAAGGGCCGTAGACAGCAAGAGGAGGAGACGGTAGGAGAGGCTCAGACGCGCGGTCAAGGGAGGGAAGGCCGAGCAAGAGGAGGGCAGTCACCAGTGGCAACCGGTTCTGCTGCGGCTGCACAACGCCGACACCTAGACCGCCAGGTGCTCCACGGCTACCTCCTGAACACTCCACTCCAGCACCCCCAGAAGGGACACCCCCTGAACCAGAGAACCCCTCAGCACCAGCAGCACCCACAGACCCACCGGGACACTCCGTGACAGGAGCCCTAAGGACGGGCACCCTCCTCAGCGCCAGCACTCCCAGAGGACACGAACTGCTGCTGCGGTGGCGACAACGGCGGCTGCGGTTGCGATGGTGGTTGCGGCTGCGACGATGGCTGCGGCTGCGAAGGCGGAGGAGGAGACACTGAGAAGGGGGCAGGCAGCAAAGACTGCGCCACAGGGCCACGAGAGTCAGCAGACTCCTCAACCGGGACAACCGACGGGAGGGGGGTGACGTGAGACACACCAGACAGGGCAGGGCGGGGAGGTGGGGAAGCAGGAGCGATCAGGGGAGGGGGGACCAGGAACAGTGGGGGAGTAACCGGGGGACCACGAGGGGGAAAGCGGTGGTAGAAGGAGGTGTACTCGTCAAAGGTGACGTTGCGAGAGTGAAAGAAACGGTGAGACGGCGGGTGGTAGAAGTGCCAGTCACACGAGTCGAGGGGAAAACCTAGGAAGACACAGGGGACGGTGCGGGCAATGAGCTTGTCCGTGCCAGAGGCACGAACGTGAGCAAGGCAGCCCTAGACGTGGAACGCAGACGCGTCACCAGGGAACTCGGTCCACAGAAGGGTCGGCAAAACCTGCGGCTGCTGGGGGTGCGGCCACAGGTTAAGCTGGTGGGCGGCGTAGCGAACGTCGAACAGCCACAGAAAATGGGGTGCACCGGCATGGATCATGGAGGTACAAGCCACCTCCATGACCAGACCGATGCATCGCTCAGCGACCCCATTCTTCTGCGGGGAGTCCGGCAGGGTGAACGTCTGGGTGATGCCCTCTGCACGACAGAAACAACCAAGGACGCCGGAGGCAAACTTGCCACCACGGTCGGAGTGAAGATGCAAGACAGGGAGACCGCGGTGCACTCGCGCAGAGACCAGCCACGAGATAAGGGCGTCAGGCACGTCGGCCTTCTGCTCCAGGGGAAACACGGTGGTGTAACAAGTGTAGTCGTCAACAAGGACGAGAAAGTAACGCTCACGATGCGCCCCATGGACCGGGGCAGGGCCCCAGACGTCCATGTGCAAGGTCTGCAAGGGTGCGGTGGTGGGGGGAACGAGGAGGAGTGAGGGGCACGGTGGAGCCGGCCCTCGACGCAACGGGAACACGGCGGCGTGGGTGAGGAGGGGAGCGTAGGGAACGACCCAGGGAGGCCTAGAACAAGACCGTGCTGAGACATATGACGAAGGCGGGGGAGGGCAGGGTGACCGAGGCGGTGGTGCCACAGTAGTGTCGTGTGAGTGAGTGACCGACGCGAGCAAGCCGCAGCTACCTGAGGAGACACAGCCACGTGGGGAGACGTCAAAACCGGGGGGGGGGGGGGGGGTGGTGTCCAGCATGAACAGGCCAGACACCGGGTCCCGGGGGAATGTGGTGAGGGGAGTACCTGTGGCGGCCTCGGTATAGACAGCGTACCGCTCGTGACCAGGGAACGTAGTGGTGACGCCAAGGTCCTGGAGGCAGCCGACACCAACTAGGTTCCTAGAGAACGAGGGGATGTGCAGGCCTGTAAGTGAACCCAAAGGAACCGCCGGACAGGGAAGGGTAGTGGAGCTACGAGCAACGACAGGGGCAGAGGAAGGGTCGGCCAGGGAAACTGCGGCGAGCTCTGTAAGCGGCGTGAGAGTAGTGGAGTCCCTGAAGAAGCACCGAGAAGCACCGGAGTCAAGGGTGAAGGAGAGTGCGGCAGTGGCGGCAGGAGCCGTTGGAATGAGAGAGGAACCTAGGCTAAACAAATCAGGAGATCCTACGCCTAACGCAGCAAGGGAGTCTGAACTAGGCACACCTATACAAGGCAACACTTCGTAAGCGGAACCAATCACACTAGATTCATCGACATACAGCACATACAATGCAGAGCTAATCTCATCCATGTCCATATCAAAGATCTGAACACCCTGATGGAGCAAGCTGAGCCTGTCGGGGAGGTCGGGCGATGGGCCGAAGCGAAGACGAAACAGGTCGTCCAGGCGATTGAAACAGCGGGTGGGGGTGTGACCGATCTTACCGCACACAAGGCCACGGCGAGGACCGGTCTGAAGCTGGTACTGGCAGCGCCCGTCGCCGGAGCCACCACCTGACGTCACGCCACGTGGCGGCTGCTGCAGCTGCTGCTGCAGTGGCTGCTGCGGCTGCTACTGCGGCGGCTGCTGATCCTGCGGTGGAACTGGCTGCTGCTACTGAGACTGCTGCTCGGTGGTGCCAAACCCAGCACCCTCATCCGCACCCCCTGCGGGCGACCCGGCTCCACCACCTCCCCCACCCATACCGCCTCCACTACCACCGCCGCGCCCAGCCTTGGAGCGACGGCCCTTTCCCGGACGAAACTGCGCTGCAGCGGCTGTCTCAGCCACAGCAATAGAGCCGTCAAAGAAAGTGCACTGAGCGGGCGCATAGCCCTGAAAGATAGAGACCGGCACAGTACCGCTGGACTGAGCGATGGAGCGCTGGCAGGTCTCTATGGCAGACAGGGTGTCTACAAAGTCAGTGAGGGTGAGGTTGGCGGGGTGGAGACTAAGGAAACGATCGCGGGCAGTAGCAAGGTGGTCAGGGAGGCGGGTGGGAAGCAGGTAGTGGGTAGCACAGAGGGGGGGCTAGAACACGCGGAGCTGGGCCTCAGTGCAGGCAGAGCGCCAGGTCGAGTCTAGCGTGCGTTAGTGGGTGGCTAGGTCAGCGACAGTGGGGAAAGACGCGAGGTCAGGAAAAATCAGGGGCAGGATCAGGCGACCGACAGAGGCAGCGGACGGGGTGGAATAGCACGCAATAACAGCCTCTAGAAATGCCTGCGCAATCGTGAACGGCCTAAAGCGTGGACGCTCAGACAGGGGAAGGGCATGACTGAGCGCGAGCTGTGCGATGGCGTCACGCGACAATCAGACTGCACGAGGAAGGGTAGCAGCGGCAGCAAACTCACGGTCAGCAAACGTGGGGTCAGCGGGCAGGCCAGCAGGGGGGTCAGGGCAGGGGAGCGTACCATCGAGGTGGACAGCCAAGGAGTGGCCGTCCTGCCGCTGGCCAGTGAGCTGACGGCGGAGGTCGACGAGCCACGTGTCGAACTCGATCGGCTTACCCTCCGCGTCAAAGCGTAGCACCGAGTCCGCCATCAGGAGCGCTGCAGCGGCATCGCAGTGTAGAACAATGCGGTATAGTGCGGTACAGTGCGGTACAGTGCGATATAGTGCGGTACAGTGCGGTGCAATGCGGTGCTGGGCGGAGAAGCGCGGTGCAGCACTGTGCAGGGGCCGGTTGCACGTCAGGGGCAGTTGGGCGACGGAGCCGTAGTGCTGGAAAGGCCTGCGCTGACCGGCAACGGCGCGGGCCGGATACAGGGCGGGCGCAAGCCAGCTACGGGACGAGCGCGGGCCGGTGACGGGGCGGGCGCGGGCAGGTGACGGGACGGGCGCGGGCCGGCTAGGACGGGCGCTAGCCAGGCTACGAGACGAGCGTGGGCACGGAACGGGCGCGACTTACGGGCGCGGGCCGGCTGCTGGACAGGATGGCGGGGAGCATGGGACGAGGCCGGCTACGGGACGGGCCGGGTACGGGTAAGGGCGCGGGCCGGCTATGGGACGGGCGCGGGACGGGGCCGGCTACAGGACGGGCCGGCTACAGGCGCGGGCCGGCGACGGGACGGGCGCGGGGCCGGCTACGAGAAGGGCGCGGGGCCGGCTACGAGAAGGGCGCGGGCCGGCTACGGGACGGGCGCGGGACGGCTACGAGACGAGCGCGGCTATGGGACGGGCACGGGCCGGCTACGAGGCGGGCACGGGACGGGACGGGCGCGGGGCCGGCTATGGGAAGGGCGTGGGATGGGACGGGCACGAGACGGGGCCGGCTACGGGACGTGCCGGCTACGGGGCGGGCGTGGGACGGGACGAGCGCGGGGCCGGCTACGAGAAGGGCGCGGCTACGGGACGGGCGCGGGCCGGCTAGGGGGGACGGGCCAGCTAGGGGGAATGGGCCGGCTAGGGGGAACGGGCTGGCTAGGGTGAACGGGCGGCTAGGACCTAGGGCAGAAGCGCTGGTGGGCGAACGGGACCTAACCTACTCATGATACCATGTTCGAATGATAGAATGTTTTAGAATGTGAGAGTACAAGACAATATAGGCTAGTGTTGTACCCTCTAAGGCACAAACCTATACAGTCTACAATAACATACTAAGATATGTTTTGACAAGTTATTCCCCCAAGTTTGACTGTAACACACTTGGAACTAGGGAACTTAGCCGAATCCTCTGGGTTGTGAGCGAGGTGTATGGGACGACTGTCTCTGTTAGTGGGGGACTTAGCCGAATCCTCTGGGTTGCAAGGGTACTACCATATTCCCTCGGATAATGGACCCGACGGTAAGAAAGTCCATGGGTCCTTTACCCGGGGGTGGGATCATTTATTTTGGCAAACCTCGTGAGGACCCGCTTTTTGGCATTTAACATTTCAAGACCCCCCAGCTTTGTTTTCGCGTTGGTTTTTGCACTGTCAAAATGGAAACTACTGCCTAAGTCTTTATTGAAATGAAACGGCACATGAAATCAGGGATCAGAAGTCAAAAGACTAAGCACTTAGTAAGAGAACGCATCTCTACTGTGATGTACAGAACTCTAGCCTACATACTGCACTTCCAAGCTCAACTACTACCGTACTGCTGCTGCTGCTACCTACTGTATTGCTGCAGTTGATATGGAGGTGCTAATATTGCTCATGCTAGTGATGCTCCTGTTGCTGCTTTTGCAGCTTCTGCTGCCGAAGTGCTGCCACCGCTGTTGCTGCCCATGCTGATGCTGGTGCTGCCATCGCTGTCGCTGCCGATGTTGATGTTGGAGCTGCCATTGCTGATGCTACCAAGGCTGGTGCTGCCACTGTTGATTCTGCCAAGGCTGGTGCTGCCACTGCTGCTGCTGCCAAGGCTGATGCTGCCGATGCCACTTTCGTTACTGCTGGTACCACAACCGCTACTGCTGCTGCGTCCAAAGTTTACCACTGCCACTGGTGCTTGTGCTAGCGACATTAGTGTTGCGCCAGCTGCAGGTGCCTTGCGGGGCCCATTTACCCAGAGCTCTCCACGGCCGTCGCCTCCTCCGTGGAGGCAGTCTCTGCAGGGGCGCTGAACTCCTCGCCCTCGTCATCCGAGTCAGCCATTGCAGCAGTTGCCTCCTCGTCCTCCTAGTCGCCGGTCACGTAGAGGGGGTTGATCCACTCCTCCACGTCGCCGGCGGCGTGCACGTCATCATGGACCTCCACCTGTGCCCCATCTTGCATATGAGCTAGGATGAGGTGGTCTTCTGTGCCGTCCGTGGCATTGCTGATGCCACACGTCTTGAAGCTCTTGATGATGATGTCTTCGGGGACCGCCTCCCAGGCGGCTGCGATCCACCTGAGGACAAGCTCGAGCGGGGGCTTCCTCAGGCTGCCTGCATGCACAGCATGTGAGAGACAAGGAGAGGAACGTATGAGATTTCGGCTTTCGCAGCTAAAAAGCGGCGAGGATAAGCAAAGAGAGTTGCGACTATAGCATTGGCGGGTGTCAAGACAGAAACTTACCCGCCGTCGTTAAGAACTCGATGCCCTCATCTACGAACCATCCATTGTAATGCGTCCTCACGCCCGCCTTGAACGAGCGGTTGACGCAGACGTCGAGCGGCTGCAGCAGGGGAGCGCAGCCGCCCGGGATGATGGCCGGCGTGATGCGGTGCCACCTGAGAAGCCCACGCACCGTGTCCGTGAGGTGCCCGCGGTATGAGTCCAAGACCAGCAAGGTCTTGGACCTCGCAACACCTGCAGGGGGGCGGATGAAGGGGAGGAGGACGTGCTGCACCCAGTCCTCCACGAGGTTGGAATCCATCCAGCCTTTCTCCTGCGTGCAGATGACGATACCTGCAGGGAGGGGGGGATTGATAGTTAGTGGCCAAACGACAGAAGGGGAAATGGTAGCTCGACTCTTCACCTGGGGGGGCGCGAACGTTCGGGATAGTCTTCCTCTTGAGAATGACCATCGGTAGGAGCTTCAATCCAGTGGCCGTCTATGCCAGCATGACAGTGAGGTGCTCCTTTTCATAGCCCGCACTCCTAACCTGCACGGTGCGCTCGCCGCGGTGGTGAAGAGTCCGCTCGTAGAGCATCTCTAGGAACACGGGCGTCTGATCCGCATTCACCATGTTCCATGGGTCGATGCCACCCTCGACCATATGCTTGCGGATGAAAGCCCACATGCTCTCGCTTCTCGGCTTGCAATCTACGAACACAACTCACGAGAGGAGCTTCAGTAAAGGCGCATGCGCATACGAAGAGACCACGCGGCAACAACTCAGCATTTAACAGAAAAAAAGCTACGCAACGACAGCGAGACAGTAAGGGCGCATACGCATACGAATAGACCACGTGGCAACAACTCAGCATTTAACGGGAAAAAATCTAGGCAATGACAGCGAGAGAACTCCATGCGTACCTTTCGTCAATCGCTGGCCGATCTTTGTCTTCACTCGAATTGTCAGGCCCCAACGTGCACGGAAACGGAATGTCCAGCGGGAGGAATCCCGCCAGTCGGCGCCCGGATGGTGATTCTTCATGTACGTGCGGCTCCATTCCTGCAGGAGACAAATGGGGACAGCAAGACCGCGACTGCGATAGGACAGGAAGCGCTTGTAGACGACATACTCCATGTCAGGATACTTCGCCAGCCGCCCACCGCCAGCGAGTCGACGCCTGCAGCCAGCAGCCGCTGCTTCTCGGCTTTCTTCCATCGGCGGACGCTGATAGGTTCAACACCAGCCATGCGGGCAGTAGCGCGAATGGAGAGGTTCTCGTCGTGCATCTTGACGAGCCACTCGAGCTTCTCCGCCATCGTGCGGGAGGTGCGTTTATGTTTCGTGACGCGGTGCCGAGAATCAGGCGTGCGCGAGTCGCGGGTTTGTTCCTCTTGGACATCGTCGTACACGACATCCGCGGGGAATCAAGGGAGAGGATAGCCCAGCGGATGTTCGGCGTCGTCGTTGCGCTCGGGGTTAGGCGGGGATAGGCCAGGCTCGGAGGCGTTGTCGAAGACGTTGTCGAAGCCGGGAAGAACGACAGGAGGAGCAGGCGGAGCGGGAGGGGCTGGAGGTGCCGGTGGTGCAGGAGGAGCCGGCGGAGCAGGTGGAGCGGGTGGAGCGGGTGGGGCTGGCACAGCATGAGGTCTAGCATACGACTGAGGCGGTGTTGCAGAGCGCATCCACATGAGCATTTCGAGGGCCGACATAGTGCCACTAGAGAAGCTCAGGATCCTAGGGGAGGGGGGAGAGATGCCCTCCCCAGGGGCATGCCTGCTAGCTTTCAACTCAGCTCGGAGGTCGAAAATGATGCCTCGTTGTTGCGACTACCCCCTCTGTGAAGGCGGGGAAGAGAAGGACGTGAGTCCGGTATCGCTAGCGACACCAGAAGCCCTCAGCCATGCTGGCAGCAGGAATGGTCAAAGCCGGGAATCAGGATGGTAGACTGGACCCTCGTTCTAGCAGCATGGGTGATGGCAGTCAAGATGCCTTCGCGCCACGCCAACACAAAAAAATTTACAGGCGTCGCTGCTGGAAATTTGACGCGTGTCATTCAGGTGGCACGGAAAGATACCGATAAGAGGCTTCTGTTTCCGCGGTACAAATAGAACTCCCTATGTAGAATGGCAGTACATCCAAAACAATAGACACTAAAGTGTAAAATATGCAAACATGGGTCCTAATAATTTCCATCCGCGTTAATGTCCACCTAGACACCTTTTTGTGTATTTCTAAGAAGACCATAGGGTCCAATAGCCGGGGGAATACGGTACAGGAGCTTTGCCTCTGCCAGTGGGGGACTTCACCAATTTTTCGGGGTCGCTCAAGGGCTGTGGGAGGAATGTCTTTGGCAGTGGGGGACTTAGCTGAAATCTTGGGTTGCGGGGGGTATAGGAGGAATGACTCTCGGATTGGGGGGACTTAGCCCAAATCTATAGGTTGCCAAGGGGAGAAATTATTATAGCCAGGTCCATGCACCTGCTAGTAGGTAACTGATTTCTAGATTTTAACTGGAATGTATACCAAGATGGTATTATAACACCTATCTGCACATTCTCCTGGGCAAACTGGGTGAAATAAATTATTCCTTATCTATACCTCAAATAAATTACTACAGCCCACTAGGCGAGCCAAAGAAAAGTTGCAGTGTTGCAGCCAAGCCTGCAAGGTGGCTCCTTATGGCCAAGCCAGAGCCTCTTGGCTTAGGTAACTGCCGATGGCTGGCTGGCTATGGAGGAGCAACAGTTGCCAGCAGCCAGGCAGAGCATGTAAAGTTGTAAACGAGCCCTGCTTAGCATGCCTTGCATCGCATGCACCGGTACTGGTGACTGGTCCCCCTTGCATTGCCTCTAGGCTCCATCCTTGAGCTCCTACACCTGCAGGTCATCCATAAGGTTATGGCTGGTTGCTCCGTGCTTCCCCTGCTGGCTGCTGCTGCTCTCCAATCCAGCAGCTATCCGTGAGGAGGAGCCTGATTGGATGACACTCCCTAGCAGAAGCTGCTCGGATTCCCCTACTCTGTCCACCCCAGTGTCACTGCTAACCACCTCACCAGCAGCAGCAGCAGCAGCAGCAGCATGGGCATCACCAGATGCACCTACTCCTACTGGTGCCCCTCCTGCTGCTCCACATACCTCCTCCTTCGACCGATGATTCGACTTTTGAGGCGCATCAGAAACTGCGCCGCACGTTTCCTCGTCCAAGTCAAAGTCCAGCCTCTTCACAAGCCCTCTCTGCTCCTCCTGCCTCATCGTCAGCATCCCCCTCTTTAGCCTCACCTCGCCTCCTCCCTCCCTGCCGTTCCTCTCACCCCTCCCATCCCTCCCATCCCTCCCCTCCCTCCCCAGCAACCTCCTTTCCTCCCCCTCTCCCTTCGCCTCAGCATTCCCACCACCCTCCCCGTTCCGCCACCCCCCCACCTCACCCATCTCCGCCTCCCCCGCCCCACCCCTTCCCTCCTTTCCTCTCCTTCCCTTCCTCGTCCCCTCCTCAACCCCCTTCACCCTTCCATCCCACTCTTCCCCTCCCTCCTCCTTCTCCTCCTCTTCCTCCCCCTCACTCCCATCCAGCTCCAACTGCTCTACAACCTCACTCTCTGGACCTCCTTCCGGCAGCAACCCCAGCGCCAGCAGCGGCAGCAGGCGAGCCCCCATGCGCACCACCACCGCCACCCACAGATTCTCATAACTCTCCCTCCTCACGCCCACCCCGTGCAGCAGCGCAGCGCCCCACCACTCCGAGCAAGTCCGGCCAAAGTTGGTCGTAGCCATGTAGAAAGCAAAGAGGGTGGCTTCGATGCCCGAGGGGCACATGCGTGCGGCGAGGACAAGGATCGGCATGATCTGCAGGCGCGCCATGGCTACTGAGAAGGCCTGGTCGCCGATAAGGAACGCGTGGTCCGGGATGCCGAGCCTGAGGTTCGTGCGCGTGACTAGGAGGAGGTCCAGGCAGCATGTGGCGAACAGGAGGAACTGGAGGGACGGGATGCCGGGGGGGTGGGGAGGAGGGTAGAATGAGTGGTGGGGGAGGGAGAGAGTGAGTGGGTGGGGGAGGGAAGGACTTAAGTAGAAAGCCTGAGGTTTGTGTGGGTGACCACGAGGAGATTTTTGAGTCGACTCAAAAGTCACCTAGAATGACCACGAGGAGGTCGAGGAGGCATGTGGGGCGAACAGGAGGCAGTGGCAAGCGGGGGAAGGCGGAGGGAGGGGGGACGTGCGGGGGGGAAGGTGGGAGTAGAGGGTAGGGGAGGGAAGGACGAAGCTGGGGTAGGAGAGAGAATGAGTGACGGCAGGTATGCATGGTGGGTAGAGTAGAGAGACTTAGGATGGTGTGACGGACGAAGAGGATGTCACAGAAGCAGGGATGTGGAATAAGAAAGCTGGGGAAGGGAAAACGAAAGGGGAAAAGAAGGGACGGGCGTTGATGCGAGGGGGAGGTCAGAGATTAGGCAGGCAGGCAGGCGGGCGGGCAGGCGGGCGAGCGGGCAGGCAGGCAGGCGGGCGGGCGGGCGGGTGGGCAGGCAGGCAGGCAGGAAGGCAGGCAGGCAGGCCGCGGCACAGGCTGGCAGGGGGGGCCACCTGGGTGCAGAAGAGGATGGAGCGGTAGGTAAAGCGGCGGAGCCAGAGGTTGTAGGCAGCCACTCCCAGCAGCATGCCGACCTGCCCCACCGCCCCCACCACGCCCATAAACACCTCGCTGAAGCCCGGGCCGTGTTGGGGGTCCGTCAGCCAGAAGAACATCCCTGAGCTGATGTCCGGGATCACTCCGCCCTGGGGGGGAGGGGGGGATACAGGGGTTGTGTGGGGGTTGGTAGGGGTTTCTACCCCAGGCATTGCTGGGTGCCTGCCAGCCAGAAGGACATGCCTGAGCCGAGTGTGGATGTCCGGGATGAATCCACCCTGGGGGGAAGGGGGGAAGGGGGGCCCTGCGGGGAGAGAGGGGAGAAGAGAGGAGCAGGGATTTGCATTTTTGAGGAGGATTCATACGCTAAAAAACACTCACTTGTATGCTCAGAGGACCATGCCCCAGCGGATGGCCAGGATGCACAGAAACAGAGCCGCCCCGCTCCATATCGCACCGCTCCGCACCATGCCGCACAGCACCACACCGCACAGCACCCCTCACCTGAACAATAAACAGAAACAGAGCGGCCCGGGCGATCTTCCTGTGCCGGATCGTCCCCACGAAGCGCCGCCACGTGCGCCCCAGCTTCCTCACGTTCCCTGTCCTCCTCCCCTCGGGCAGGCGCGCCTCTGGGAGTGAGAGCGCAACCACGAGGAGAGAGAGCGGCGAGAGGGAGATGAGGAAGAAGGTGCCACAGGGGCCGAGCGCTTTGATCAGTGAGCCGCTGACGGTGTAGGTGAGGAGGGAAGCCAGGGCGAGACAGGCCGAGGGGAGGGACTGGTAGGGGGCGGGGGCGGGGGCAGGAGAGGGGGGAGGGAGATTGGGAGAGGGAGATTGGGAGAGGGGAAGGGAGGGCGGGGTGAGGGAGGTAAGGTAGAAGGGATGCTACAGGGGCTGAGATAATTTACTAGCGAGCTGCTGAATCCTCATGGTGCGGGCGAGGGAGGAGGGAGGCTAGGGCGCGACAGCTCAAGGGGAGGGACTGGTGGGGGGAAGGGGAGCGAAATCGGGAGAGGAGGGGGGGGGAGAATGTTAGGGAGGGGTTTGAGAGAGGTGAGGCGGGGAGAGGAGGCACAGGTGGAACAAGAGTCATCCTAGCCGCCTCGTTCCCACCCCTCACCCCACCCAAATCACCGGCAGGTCCGCACCCCATGTGGGCTGGGCTGCTGCTGTAGCTGTGTCTATCTCCTGCGCCAGCATGGCCTCAATCACCACGCCTGTAGGTCTTTCGGGAATTCTCACAAAACACCTATGCCAGTCACCACGCCTGGCACTCCCATCCTAGCCCCCGCCCTTCTATTCCCCCCTCCCCCCCCTCCCCCCCCTCCTCTTTCGTCATCCCTCTCCCCTTCACTCACCTGCAGGTCTGCGGCGTATGTGGGCTTCTGCCGGATCTCCTGCGCCAGCATGCCATCCACCACCACGTCAGGCACGGCGCAGAAGAGCGACTGCGTCACCAGCAGACACGTGGCTAGCGCGGGCACCAGCGCCGGCAGCCCACCCAGCGCCCACCATGCCACCGTGCCGATTATGCCGGATAGGGCGATGTACGGCCACCGTTGAAAGCTGCTCGGAGGGGGAGGAGGGGTGCGCAGGGATGGGGGGAGGGGCAGGGGGAATGGGGGGAGAGGGGGGCGCGGTGGGAGGGAGATGAGGAGGGATAGACGGGCAAGGGGAGGTGAGGACGGTGCGAGGGTGGGTGGGCAAAGTTGCTAGAGTCGGCTCCAAGGGGGTGCTGAAAGGGAGAGCATGTGGCAGATGCGGAGGAAAAGGAGAGGCAGGAGAAGCATCGGCCAGGGAGAAAGGGAGTGCGGGGTTGATTCTGAGCCGGTCGGGGCTGGGGAGGGGGGAGGAAAAACAGGGAGACACAAGGAGAAACAAGCACACGCACCCGAGGATGGGGAAGGTGTCGGTGATCATGCCGTAGAGCGGCTTCACGTCCCACGGGATGCCCACGAAGCTCTGCACGCACCGCCATGGGGGACAGGGGGGAGGGGTGAGGGGTAAGGGGGGTGAGTGGTGAGGGGAAAGGGGTGAGGGGTGCGGGGGGTGAGGGGTGAGTGGTGAGGGGAAAGGGGTGAGGGGTGCGGGGGGTGAGGGGTGAGGGGTGAAGGGTGAGGGGTGAGGGGCGTTGGGAGCAATGTGGCAAGGAGGGTTGCCTACAGGAAAGTATGCAGCTCGCTACAATGCCATACCGAGCCAAGCTATACATTGCCATGCCATACCGTACCATACCAAACCATGCCACCACCACACCCTACCCCCACCACACCCCATCCCACCGCACCCCACCACACCACACCCCACGACACCACACCACACCGCACCAAGCCAATCCACCAACCATGTAGAACTGGGCAGCGGCGGGTTGCAGGTGCTGCACGTCCTTCCAGTAGTAACTAAGCGACAGGTCCGTGAGCGAGCTCGCATACCCCTGGTTGATGCCATACGTCACCATCACCACGCCCAGCAGCGGCCACCCAAACACGCGCCCCAGCTCGCGCATCCACGCCGCTATCCCCGTTATAGGGCTGGTGACTGGGGAGAGGATTTGCCCGCAGAAGCCGCTTAGGAGCGTGGGTTTTCGAGAGGGGGTTTGCCGTTGTAGGGTGATGAGCGCTAAGTCGTCCTCCACGTCATCATCAGGCGGAAAGTCCGCTCCGCCATCCTGCTCCCCGTCCCCCCTACCCCCGCTTGTTGCCCCTCCGGCTCCGCCAAGGGCTCCGCCTACTGAAGTTCCCCGCGCGCCCTCTTCCGCGGTAAGTAGCCCAATCCCCCCTCCGCCTGCTTCGTCCCGATAAATATCCGCGGGGGCTGCGGAAGAGAAAGCAAGGGGAGCGGCGACCCCCGCGCTGAGCCCCGCCTCTCCACCTCTCTCCGCGTACGCGCGGGTAGCGCCATCCACGCGTCCGTCCCCCGCAGCGGCGGGAAAACCGCGGGGATCCTCGATCTCTAAGGAGATCGCGGTTGCGCCGATGGGGGAAGAAGCTTTCTCCGCCCCGCGCGGGCTTCCGCGGAGAGAATGTGCGTCCGCGGGGCAGGCGGGACTACCGACGGCGCTCCGCGGAAACGATTGGCTGGGGGGCAGGCCGGTCATTGCGGCGAACAATAAGGGGAACGAGGGCGGGCGATGCAATAAGAGATATTCGAAAAAAGACACATCCAAGATCGCCCAACGGACTCGGTTTGCTTGGCAGCAGTCGACTACGGTTGTTGAGATTGGGAAGCTAAGCTAGGTGAGCAGATTGGGAAGCGGATTCTGACACCCGTATTACCCATCTATGGGTTTCGATGAGCATAAAAGGGAACATTAGATGTTAGTAGAGCGAAACGGCATTATTCTATGAAACGACGAAGCTACAAAAGACGAAGCGAAACAGCAGCAGCAGCAACATCAGCGGCAACAGCTGCAAAAGCCGCCGAAGCACACAGGCGTGAATGCCGCAAAAGTCGGCATGAACCAGCACTGGCCGGCAGGCACTGGGCGACGTCGCAACGCATATTCCTGAGTTCTCCCCGCCTGGCTCCCTCCCAAGCCAGGTTTGGCTCGGCGGAACTGGTGTCAGGAAATTCCTTTTCCTTACTGGGCTCGAGGAAAATTATTGTGCCAACCATAATGATGAAATTGGGCTGGCGCGGGCGGGAAAACGTTCCGAGATGGGCGGGGGTTACTGCAGTTTCTGACTAACGGTGGAATCCGACTGATGCGTCGTGTTGCGAACTCGCTAATTCTTATTGTTTATATCGTGCCACTGACCGTAAATGTTATCTAGGCCCCTAATACTGAGCGCCGATATACTTTCCCTAGTTTGATTCATGCACTTTCGGCCGTTGAATTGGTCTGGCCAAAACCAACTCCCATAAATCCCTGCTCTCGCTAGGTTTCCAATCGACGGCTGTAATTGTGCTTACAAATTGGGACTTCATGTGTCCCTCCATCTCGGCCGTCGTCCGCGTTTGGCCCCACTTGAACTCCCAAAATCAAGCTGGGCCCATCTTGCAGAGGAAATTCCCCACGAACTAACGGAATCACATTATTTTGCACCCAGTAAAACAATTGTTTTTTCCACCTATGGAAAACAAGACAGTGTGTAAGGAAATTCCCTTTTCCTTACTGGGCTCGACTACAGCGCATACGCCCTCGACTCTCGGAAGTCCAGGCTCGGCCAACTTCTTCGGTCCCGAACCACTTCGCGAACCCAAACCTACACGCGTGGCGCTTCCGTAGCTTTCGCCAACCGGACCGCCCCAATCTGTTCGCGTGGTTCTCGGCTAGCTCTGTTCGTGCCTATGTCCTCATTTGTATCAGCACTCTTGAACCACGACTCCTTTATTACACTACCTGTTATTACTCTGATTAATTCATAACAACTGGTATCAGAGCCCCGTTCCTACCCGCTTAGTCTTCCGTAAAGTAGTCTGTTTATATCAGGAGAGGACCCGACAGAATAGAGGATTGGCCTGCGGTTGGTAGGTGAGCTCGTTAAAGCTCCTCCAACTAGAAGCGTGTGCACCCTCAGATCTGTCAGTTAAAATTTCCAGCATGTCTATTACGCCGGAAACCTTTGCCCGCCGCAGCTTTAGGAACGTGACTCATGAGGAGTTTGACGAGTTGCAAGCCATGGCGGCTACAGTGACGACACTGCAGGCCCAGCTTCAACAACTCGCTGATAAGTTCGAGTATCAGGAAAGCGAAGTGCAGACGTTGCGCAACGAAAACTCGTCGCTTCGCCATACGCGGGGTGAAACGCGTCAAGGGCGACCTGTTACCTGAGACGAAGATTCTGCGAGTGAAGCGAGGGCGTCGGCGACACCTGAAGCAGTTGAAGAAGTCCACAGCGAGCCACGGGCGGCCATTAAAACCAAACCTCTGATGCCACCGCCGTTCAACCCGACCGACAGGATGACTACAGTAAGGGGTTGGCTGTTCGCCATGGAAATCTTCTTTACAACAACAAGTATTGATAACAACGCGTTACGTGTCAACTTGGTTGTGTCGCTGCTGAGGGGACCTGCACTCGACTAGTGGCGCATGCATCTAGACGAGGGAGGAACCCTGGCAGGGAATCAAAAGGCGGTAGATGGGGAGCACGGTTCATCAACGGCTCAAGCAGAACCGATCTTTGGGTCGGCCACGATCCGCACGTGGAAAGCGTGGGGTGAAGCATTGAAGAGCCGATTCGAGCACATATCCATGCGCGAAAACACTCGCACAATGCTTCGGATGTGGAGACAGTTGGGCTCTGTCCAATAATACACGGCTTCGTTCTAGGCGTTATGCGATCAAATCAGAGGGCTTAGCGAAGATGAGAAGATCGATCACTACGTGGGTGGTCTCAAGCCAGAGATTCAGCAAGAGATCGTCCTACGAGCCCCGGCAACATTCAACAAAAGTGTATGAATCACGGATGCGCTAGACGCAAGGTGTGGACTCGCGAGGACGGGTTTCCGGGAGGGAAATCGCTTTCGCGGACAGCCCCAACACACATCAATCAACGACGTGGACGTGTTTGCAGCCCTGGTATTTTCCGGATGCTGTTTTCACTGCAACCAGCCGGGCCATATTGTGAGGGACTACCCGCAGCTGAAGAAGAACTTAGCTAACGACGGGAAGCAGTCGGGAAATGGAAATCGTCAGTAGCACATGGGCCACCTACTAACTTGACTGTGTCGCCCAAACGCCAATACCCCCACCAGGTTATATTGCTGATTTGGGCTATAAACCATTTTTGGCTGAATAAGGGTGGTGAACCAGTTGATCGCCCTGTGCTGGATGAAGGAAGAGTTGGCGACACCCGCATCAAAATATTTGTTGATGGTGTGGCAAGCCATTGTTTGATGGATGTGACAAAAGCGAAGAAACTCCGACTGCAGCTGGAGCGGTGCATGCCTGAAATCGACGCGAGGTTGGTTGATGGCACCCCATTGGCGATTCGGAAGCATCTGCCTCACGTGCGAGTCACCTGTGGCGAAAACTTCAGTTTCACGACGAAGATGCTAGCGACAACTTTGGACGGATGTGACATGCTGTTGGGATGCAATTGGTTGCGCGAATACAACCCGAGCATCGACTGGCAGACAGGCGATTGTCGAATAAAGTGGAGTGGCGAGTGGCGACGGCTACCCAAGTGGAGCAGTCAAGACTCAACAACATCGACGATAAGCACAGTGGCTATAAAACGCACGATGATGCGCGGAGCGCAGCTGTATGTCGTCCGATGGATCGCATCAATGGCTATAGATATGCCGACCGACATCGACAAACTCTGCGCAGCTGTCCCTGATGATTTGGCAACAATGATTCGGAAGCACGCCGACATTTTTCCGGATGACCTACCGGTGGGCTTGCCACCTCAGCGGCCACATGACCACAAAATCGAGCTCGAACCTGGCGCACAGCCTACCGTTCGGACACAATGGCGGCTGACTCAATCCGAGTTAGATGAACTTCGATGCCAGCTGGACTACCTGCTCGAGAAAGGTTTCGTCCGCCCCAGCACATCACCATTTGTAGGTCCGATCCTGTTCACCCCGAAGAAAGATGGCGATCTGCGTATATGTATTGACTACCGCGCGTTGAATCGAGTTACCATCAAGTCTCGCTACCCAATCCCACGTGCCGACGACCTCATCGACCAACTTCGCAGGGCCAGATTTTTCTCAAAGATTGACCTGCGATGCAGTTACCACCAACTTCACGTGCATGACGCTAACTGCTACAAGGCAGCGTTACGGACCCGGTACGCGAGATACGAGTACACGGTCATGCTGTTCGGCTTAACAAATGTGCATTCGACATTCAAGTCGACAATGAACACGATTTTTTGGCCATTTATGAATGAGTGCGTCATCGTGTACCTCGACGACGTTCTCGTCTACAGCATAATCCGGGAGCATCATTTAAAGGATTTGGAAGAAGTTTTCTCTCTCCTGCAGCAGAACCGGCTAATCACCAAGAGCTCTAAGTGCGAGTTTCTAAAACACGAACTGGAGTTTTAGGGTCACGAGATCTCCATCGACGGGGTTAAAATCGACCCCAAGAAAATCGCGACAATCCAAGGCTGGCAGCCGCCGGCTAATCTCCGCGAACTTCAGAGTTTTCTAGGGTTTGTTAATTACGTTTGCCGTTTCATTCCGAACATGGCGAATCTAACTTCCCCTCTCACGGATCTCTTGAAGAAGGGCACGTTCTTTTAGTGGGGGGGAGAGTAGCAGGCTGTGTTCGAAAAGCTCAAACTTTCCTGACTACACCGCCGGTTCTTCAGATTGCAGATCCCCACTGTTACGGGATCGAATGTGTCGAGGAAAGGTTGCCCTATCGATTGATACAAGGCGCTTTTATACTTCCAAAGTACATCAGGTAACCAGGTTTATCATATCCCAAGGGAATAGACCCTTCTAGAAAATAGAATCACCCTGCGTATAGCAATGCGAGGCTATAGGCTTTAAGGGATTACGGCAAGATTACGCTAGATATGGCTCGCCAGTACATCATGAGCCTGGTCGGTGATATAATGATAATAACAGGATAAACCAAAGGTTTATGGAAAAGAAGGAATAGGAATCCAAATGGAATGAGATAAAGACCAAACGACTCAAGATAAAAAGAGGAATGGAATGGAAAGGGAAGATGGAAAGGAGAAAGGAATGGAACGCGGTCGTACTCTCACACTTCCCCCCCTAAAAGCTGGGTGGTAGATATAACACCCTGCTTTACAAGGTAGTCGCGAAGAGGACGACGAGCATGATCCATCTCGGATTCAGAGACACAACTATCCTCTGAAGCATCATAACCCTTCCAACGGATGAGAAGCTCTACGTTGCCATTCCGCCAACGGCGGTGAGCAAGTACGGACTCGACCTCGTACTCGGGTTCATCATGGACGAGGACGGGCGGCGGCGGCGGCGGTTGGCGTCAGAGAAGACCGTGTTGGGATCCCGGTAGGGCTTCAAGAGTTGGAGGTGGAAGGCATTGTGAATCTTCCAGGTAGCTGGCAGGCATAAGCGAAAGGTAACAGGAGTGACCTGTGCTTCAACGAGAAAAGGCCCGCAGAAGCGAGGTCGCAGTTTGGATGGGAGATGGTCGATGCCAAGATTGCGCGTGTCGAGTAGTACTTGGTCTCCCATGGTGATGGGGTGGTCTGTGCGGTGGCGATCAGCCTGGGGCTTCTGTTGTTGTTGAATGTCGAGAAGGCGCTTGTGGGTCCAATCCCATAGTTTGTGCATGGTCGTGATGAAATCATGAGCGGGTTGGACTGTGGTTGGTACAGTATGTTTGGCTGTTGAGGTGTGAATGGGTGGCGTCCGTAACAGAGGAAGAACGACGTCTGTCCAGTAGCGGCGTGAGTAGCATTGTTGTAGTCAAACACCAGGACGGGCAGATGCAAGTCCCATTTGGAGATGTCATCCTTCCAGGCTGCGCGGAGGAGTTGCTCCA